ACACACACACACACACACACACACACACACACACACACACACACACAGTTAGTAATAACCGTGCAATAAGATACTGTACGTACTGTATTTGATTAGGCTTGATGTTGATAAGCGTAGCGAGATTTGGTAAAGTTGCTCTTAAATCGGTAGTCGGGAGGCCGCAATACCATCGAAGCTGTGCTATGTTTTTATTTAATAGATATACAGCGTAATGGAATTGTAATTTATCCTTGCTTCGAGCAAACAGAGGAAACCTAAAAATAATGTGCTAGGGATAAATATACGCGTGGATTCGTTACTAATAAAGATAATTACAAGTAGCCCTTACTGTCTATCGTTGTCAGGCAAACTTTCTGTGATATGATCTATGACTTTACTGCGCGAGCCATAATGAATGATAGGATATCTGGTCGGTACATTCAAAAAATTTGCAATCATCTGCGTTGTATGTGCAACAAAACCTAATGCTACAGCCACTTGTGTGTCGTTCGATAATTCCAATTCCTCGCTGTCTGGCAAATAAACGTCATTTATTCTAAACTTTCCGATACTATCCTAAAAAATCGAGAAAAATGTTAGCCACTCAACTTTATAGACTCATTTCGCAATGAAATATATATATATATATATATATATATATATATATATATAATTTTTTTCGAGATGTCGAGATACCTGTTTAATGGGATATATTAAACACATTTCTGAGATTAACTGTCGTCGTCTCTGTGCAAGTTGGCTGCTCAACTGCAAATATGTTTCTCTCGTATCTATATGATTTTGCCGCCACTCATTCAATCTTTCTATATCTTTATTCAGCTCTCTATATCTTTCCATTAAATCAGAACCTAGAAAACAAAGAGTTCTCTTTATCTAGAATATATCGTACCCGTGCAACTCATATATATATATATAACATGCGCGCGGCACGTATTTATATTAACCATGATCTTGATTTTCTTCTACAATATTAGTGTGTAATTGATTCAATACACGAATTTCTCCCATTTTTCGCGCTCTTTCTTGTTCTAACAATTTTGTTCTAAATTTAGCCATTTCTAGCTCTTTACGTATTCTCATAATTTCCAACTTCTTTTCCCTGTTAACTCTTCGTGGTTGCAATAGTCTGTTCAAAGTTGTCTGTGGATACTTGCGAGTATGAAAATCATCACCCGAGGCAATGCGTACTCTGAGCGCTTGCACCGATTCTGTTTGTTGCTTTAGTGCCTGCATTTTGCTTCTTAAACTGCTGAGCTTATTCACAGTATAACTATTCTTTATTTCGGATGCATTTATAGTCATATAAAGATAGCGCTTTGAGTCTGGAGCTGTTTCGAAGCAGTACGCAGGAGTAAAGTATCCACCATGAAAATGAAATATCAAAGAGTTTTCCTTTAGGATAGTTTCTAGATTAGGTGGCAGCTTAGGACCGATATACGCCAATCCTGTAAACGATATTCCCCATGTGGAGAGGGTCACGTCAGCTGTATTATCACATGGCACCGAGCGTTTCCAGACCCTTAGGATAATCTCTGTTCAAAAGACGGAATTTTTTGTTATTTCTCTAAATGTCTACTAAAAACTAAATCCATTCAAAACAAGATGTATGAAGAATGCAAATAATAAATCAACAAGTATACGGAATGTATGTATGTAAGCATCTAATATACCAAGAGAAAGTATGTAGCGTCTATTGTACTAACAGACAGTAACGCTCACCACTGGCCGTTGAATAACCTGTGGCATGCAGGGTCGGTACTTCGAGACTTGACCATCTTGGATTAGCATTGTCGATCGCTTCGCTCGTATATAACGGAGACGACATACTTGATCTATGTAACGTATAATAGAACCAACATATCTCTCCATTTACATTAGCCTTTAGATTATGGCCTATTATTTGTACTAAACCTCTGAGTCGTAACTGAAAATTTCAAACAAGATAAATGAAGGGGCTTTAGCGTGCTCGAGCTATATAATAATTTTTCTCCAATATGTATATTAATTTTAACTTGTGGCTCACCTGCTGAGTGGCAAGAGGAAGCCAAGTTTTGTATCGTGGGACGATTCGTGGCTGAAGGGTTAAATCTAAATCCTTAACAAGATTTCGCGATTCGGAAAGCTCCATCGTGTAACTTCATAGTATTGCGATAGTATATCATTCGGTCCAAGAGATATACGAGTCACGTCGGTGTGAGAATGGAGATAGAGGATGACACCGAACCGAACGGCCGGTTTGCGGTTTGACCGAAACAAATAATGAATAATTATAGCCGTACGCACTACGCACACAAAGGCAGGTTATACCGAGCTTTCACGAGTACGGTACATACAACCGAACAAATTTGTATTTAATAATTGTTGAACGCATTAACCACCCACAAAGGCTAGCTTGTCGTTAAGTAGTTTTACGTCACGAATGTCACGATTCAAGTCATTCGCAGTCATTCGATCGCGCGTATGTATGTATGTACGTACATACATACATACAATTGATACAATTCACATTCGCAGCAATCTGTAGTGTGAACGGGCCTGATAATATTTGATAATATTTGACAAATCCTGACTTCTGACAGCTCCTCGCGAATTGCGACAGTCGCGACACCCTGCATCCCCCTGCACGCCCCTGGGCGTCCCGGCAAGCCCCAGCGCCCCCAGCAACTTGCAGCCACCTGCAGCAGCCAGAGAGAAACCAGTGCCAGTGCAGCCACCACGACCACGCCGACCGCCGACGTAACCGGCGTTACTAGACCTGCTGTGCTCGATGTGCCATTCGCACTTCACACGAAATTGAAAGACATATTTCGCAAGATTTATTCGGCTGAAAATGTATCGCGTGAGTATTCGAGCAAGTGATTACATTTTCTGATATTGAAACATTGCGGACATATCCTACAATTTTAACATGCATATATATATATATATTTGCATCATAATGCGGCGCGAAAAAACGACCGTTATATATGTATTATAAGGCAATTAAGGGTCGACAGGATATAATGAAAAAATCGCACTTTAACTGCGATGTTCGCAATCAGCAGCATCGCCTTCAAACTGCTACAGAGCGATTTTTTTGGAAAAATGGTCAAAATAAATTTTTCGAAAATAAATAAGTGCGATTTTCTCATTATTTTGGCCGTAATACGAATTTTACGATTCGTAGTTCACGGCTCTCCACCGTGTCTTCTGAATCTTCTGATGTCGACCCTTATAACCGTATATATGTTATACCTGCATTTAAACGTGCCACAGTGACGCCGCGCTGTGCCGGTCATATCACGTGAAACTTGAACTGACCGCGCGGGAGACGAGACGAAGCACTTCCGCCCTCCGCCATATTGATGACGTTCTCCTTTCGTTTTCCGTTTCTGGCGACTGGCGAGCACGGATCGGCCTCGGAACTCGGAACGAGTGACGTCGCGACTCATCGTTCAATTGGTAAGGGTAAGAGTAACCTTTTATATTAATCTTGCATGCATTATTTAATACAGCACCTTGTCGCGTAGTAACATAGATTCAACGCTCGGGCAATAATAATTTGTAAAAATTATACGTACTCGTATTTCGCGATACTTGTTCGGTCGAAGGCGCGTCGCGCGGGCAGTCATATGAAAGTGACGATCGTATTTTCCAATGTCGCGAATATCGCGGATATATCTGTCAAAAATATTAGCGCGCCTATTCGCTAGAATGAAAAATAACGATCGTAATAATAGGCAAGCATATAATATTTCTTACTCGAACCTCGAAAAAATTCATTAGCGCGAAGTTAAGAGCGAGACGCGTAGTGACGCCGCGCGCCGCGGCGCTTTTGGCGCGAGAAGTTGCCCGCGCGACAAACGAAGTGCTTTCGCCATGTTGATTAATACATTTTCTTCCCCTTCTATTTCCAGAACGCAGCGGACACGGGACGGGACGAATCGGCTCCGGACTCCGGACCGAGTGACATCGCAGCTCGTGTTTAACTGGTAAAAATATCACATTTCAAGCTTGCATTCATTACATTATTTACTGCAGTATCTGATGTCGCGTAGTTAGCATAGTACACATTTTGTGTGCTGTGTGTGCGCTCCGGTATTGATAATAATTCTTGAAAATACGTACTTATATCGCCGAATACTTGTTCGGCCGATGCGACGCCGCGACGCCGCGACGCCGCGATGGTGTGGTGGACGCGCGGGCACATGCAGTTGTTTCATATAATCTATTTATTAATTCTTACCGATGGAAATAATTGTTCATTTGCGCAGTGTGTCGTTTTCAAATCACTGTATAATGTAATAGTGTATTGAACACGTACGTTTAATACATTTTGTAAATAAAATATTTTAACGGCCTTTCCGTAATTTGATTGTATATATCTCATACGATTGTATTCCGCTTATTCGTTTAAAATATTTTAGCTTATATTTTAACATTTTTTAAATATATTTAATAAATTATTTATGACTTAATTATAATTAAGTATACAAATATACATATATAAAATCTATATCAAATATTTCTATAATAAATAACTAAAATTTATAATAGTTCAAATTAGAGAATTAGAATATCAGGATATTTATTTTAGACATTATATTTTTATTTGAATATTTTCGTATGTTACAGATCAATCTTGTATATAACTCCTCTGTTGTGTGATGTAAGAAAAAGGGTTCAGATGGAAAAACCCGAGAGGAGAAGGAGAAGAGGCCTATGAGAGGCGTCAGGCGCTAGCGAAACAACATTGTGGTAATTATTATTTTTTATTTTGTGTAAAAGTAATTTTAGTTTTTGCTTATACTTGAGTTGTTTTATTTTTCATCATGATTTTGAAATAATAATTAGGAAGAAGTAATTTGAAATTTTAAGATTTTATTTTTGTAAAGATCTTTTTTGGGAAATGTGTAATTATTTAAATAAATATCTAATTTTGAATGATGAATGAGAAATTTTTGATGCGCGTAAGAATTATTTAATAACAAATTATTTATTTTTATGCTTCAGAAGATAACGACGCGGAAAGTGTCGCATCGAAGGAGCTGATAACGCGAGAGGACAGCCTGAGAGGAGGAGGAGGCCTGGGAGAGGCATCGGGCACCAGCGGAACAACTTTGGGGTAAATATTATTTTTTTATTTTATGTAAGAGTAATTGTTTTTTGTTTATTCTTGAGCCTTTATTTATTTCATCATAATTTAGAAATAATAGTAGAAGAAAAGAGAGGAGTAATTTTAATATTTTATAAAAATTGATTCTTATAAAGATTATTTTCGGAAAATGTATAATTATTTAAATAAATATCTAATTGAATAACGAATAAAAAGTTCGATGCCATAAGAATTATGTTTTAAAACATTATTAGGTTTTCCGTTTTTTGAATACCGTTTTAATATATGAATTTTATATTTGTTTGTTACAGAATCAACGTAGCTACGTGGCAGATATAATTCCGCTGTTGCGCATCGGGGTCGCGTGAGTGAATAATTAATAATGTTATTTGTTTAATTTTAGAATCGAAAATATCGAATTTTGTAGAATCATATACACACATACCTATGTCCTATATGTATATAGCACATACTTTGCTCATAAAATAGTAACTTTCGCAGGATTGAATCGCATGTCAGATTAGTTTTACTTGATTGTGAACGTTACTTCTAGACCGGATCGTAAGTCAAAATGCAAGAAATAATTAGAACTGACTGTAACCCGTGTAGAGTGTGGGGAGACAGTATAAGATATCGAATCGAAATGTGGTATCATTATGTAATGAATCCAGAATGATAGCAGTACGAGCGAACGGGCGAGCAAATGTTATAGGTAAGCGAGAAACCGAACGAAAGAACATATGGAAATATAGTTTCAAGATATAGTTTCAAGATTATAGCTAATTCATTTATCATTTTGATGTTATCTGCGAATAAGTCCAGCGTTATGCAACACCCTGTAAATCTTTTCTCTCGGTATTTTGTCCGTTTCTCGGTCGATTACCTGTAACATCAAATTCGGAATTCTGAAAAGTTTTTCGACTTAAATTCGATATATTTGAATGCTTAACGTAATTGACTACCTAGCTTAACGTGTAAACAGCGCAATTATGCGTCTTTATTTGCTAAAATATAAATAACGAATTTGTTAATTGTGAGAGGTTTGTTAACGATGCAATCTCACAATCTCTAACTATACTTGAAGTGCATAATATGCAGTGCAATAGCATTAATTAATTTCATCTTTATTCCTTTGTTTAAAGAACTTGAATTCAGATCAGATTAATAATATGTGATAAAAAAATGTTTCTGTTACATTTCATGTTCTGGATAAATTACGAAAATTATGTACCTGCATTTCTTTATCGATGAACCAGGATTCCTTAGCGAGACCAGCAGCGATACTTGGATTTTTATAGAAATTATTTCGTAATTGGTTAGGCAAATTATCTTCCATTGCAGAATTAATTATGACAGCTGGATGGGCGAGCGTCGCTTCGGGAGTTAGAAAAAGAACTGGCGTAGCCGTGCAAGTTGCCACTATGATGAACATGACAATATTCGTGTAGTTAGTTAGAGTCAGCATTTGATGTTCCGATGCTCTCCTGAAAGATTGAAAAAATCTTGTCCAAGGTAGAAAAGATAACACATTTGATTAGGTAAAATTTGATTATTATTCGAGTGTCAAAAGTCTATTGCGAAATTATTGCTAGATTAGATTCAAGTTGCCCGATTGCCCGCCCATGCGATTGCCCGACTGTCACGCACTGACAAATTGTACATAAAATGCCAGGTCCTCACTAGGTGTGAATCACGAACGTGAACCTATATGTTTTCACGCTTTCCACTAAGGGCTTAAGCTGAGCAAGACAGATACACGTTTGTGGCTTACGCCTAGTGAGAACCCAACATTAATTAGGTACCCAACATAATGTTTTATTTATTTTATCAGATTCTATCAGATAGCTAAAACTCGTGCCTCGACAGCGAATCATAAACAGCACTAGACATAATCTGATGGCGGAAATATAATAATAATAATAGTTTCTATTCCTTTTGTGGAAAATATTTTACTCGCTGCATTTTTATACACCTAATTTTTTAGCTTGATCTGACTTTTGTTCTCCGAATTCGCGCGTTCTTCTACGGATTTTTGAAACAGTGACATGTTTTAAGACATTATGTGCTGCAAATGTCAGTTGAATGAAATTTATCAGCTTAATGATTGATTTCATTGTAACGTTCATTGTCACATTTTATAACATGAATTTTTTACGCGCTTTACTTTGCAATACCTTGATCGCGCAAGATTTCGTATTAAACTTACAACTTACCTTTCAAAGACGCTATAAAGATTCGCAATACTTTGCGACCAAGTGGCGTTTACCTCGCGCGTATTTAACTGATTGTGAGCGCAAGATCCGTGAAAACAGGACTTATATACACATACGCGATACACGTTGCCTGACCGGTGTTCTTGGTGTTCGGTACAAGTTAAAATCATATCCGACATCCCTTGGTCATTGACTAGCCCAGAGGCTTCGCTGACTCCTTCTCTCCACGTTTACCTTCAGACAAGGTCGCTAATCCGCCGTTAACTGAGTCAAGGGTGATGATCCTATCAACTGTCACTTTGCTCATAAATATCACAGAGAGATACAATATCTACCGTGGCCTTGTATTTCGTCATTTTTTACGAATGCGATAGATGTGTCAGATATACTGGTACGTGTTACATGGTAACTAATTGTCAAAAATGTTCGGTAAATCCATGTAACTGTGCACAAATATGTGAATATATACAATAGAATGTACCTTGTATACACGCCTGAAAAAACGTTCGATCCCAAATTGCCAACGAAATCAGATCAGTCCGCTTTATCATTCTCGCAATCGAATTCAATCACATAAGCGAGTAGCATTTTCAATACTGGGACTGTTTTCCGGCTTGCGTATTATGCACGTCACGCCTTCGTCGTAATACAATCAGAACCGGATTCAGTTCTGGTTAATTCATGCTAGTTTTCTATCGTAGGCATTATACCGCATCGGATACTAGTCACGATACTGTCACTTATAGTCACTGGCACTCGACTCTCCTCTCTTTTCTTCAAATTCTTTTATAAATAAATAAATACTTAAAAATAAATAAGTAAATGTGAAAATTCTTGCATAAACGATAAGATATTGAAATAATTGATTTATGGAAATTCTTTTAACTCTACAAGCGTTACGTGATATTCTTTATGTATATAATTAGTATTAATATGTAATTTATATTTTATAGTATTAACAATAAGTAGGATTGTGTGCTAATTTTGATTAATAAATATTTGATTAAATGAATTTTTATTAAATTGATGTTAATCTGATACGTAACACAATTATGTAAATATATTTTATTTAAACATACATTTTGATTGACTAAAGAAACATTTAAAAAAATTAATTCTATGCGCATGCGCGCGCGCACACACACACACACTCTCTCTCTCTCTCTCTCTCTCTCTCTCTCTCAAACCCATAAGCAAAATTCTTTCAACGATCGGAGTAAATCTCATGAACGATACGGATGAGGGAATGGAACCACTTGTATTATTGAGGTCAATGTTATGGCCTTATAAATAATCAGCGGCACAGTGGTTACCCTTGTCGGGTAACTACTGAAAGGTTTCAGGAAGTTGCTAACACTATCACGGACTATAATCAGTCTGATTTGATAAACTGTGAAATGTAAAACTTTAAATCGCTTAAAATAGTAATATCGTTGCACTTGATACATTTTTAAACGTTGATATTAATAAAGAATTGAAAGAGACTAGAGAGAGAAGATTGATACATTTCGAAATATACATATATACAAACAATAAAGTAAATTAAAACGTTTATTGTTATTCCTTTATGTACAATATTTGCATATATTGGCTATTAGAAAAACATATGATATCAATCTTTGATCACACGAGATATCGTTACATTAGGTACATAATACATAAAAACAGATTATTAAGGATTATTCTTTTAATTGCATATATCTTGTGTGCATTATACGCGCATTGTATAGTAATAAGATTTGCGACAATCATAGCGCAGATCACAGCTTTCAATTGAATTCTAATTAAACATTTTATCGTTTTAACAATTAAACACTTTTTTGTAAAAAATGATAATATTCAATAATCAATTAACAACGAAAGAGCATCGAGCCGTAACTAGGTGTTAATGTTATTATATTCACATATAATTTAAATAACAAACGTTTCGGTCAACATATTGGACCATCCTCAGTGTCGTACAATAAACGCAATTTGTTAAATCGGAGTAACATTAAAGAAATTACACGTTCAAAAATTAAAAACTAAAAACTAAGCGCAAACGCTTGTTGTTTTCAGAGTACGTCATAGTTAAGGATCGTTTCGTTCGTCGTGCGATCATTAGTCGAGTCAGCATTGTCGAAGATGTGTTCTATTAACACGTATTTGCCATATCATTGTAATAGAACACATCTTCGACAATGCTGACTCGACTAATGATCGCACGACGAACGAAACGATCCTTAACCATGACGTACTCCGAAAACAACGAGCGTTTGCTCTTAGTTTTTAGTTTTTAATTTTTGTAATTTCTTTAATGTTACTCCGATTTAACAAATTGCGTTTATTGTACGACACTGAGGATGGTCCAATATGTTGACCGAAACGTTTGTTATTTAAATTATAGTGAATATATTAACATTAACACCTAGTTACGGCTCGATGCTCTTTCGTTGTTAATTGATTTTTAATTCTGTGAGCCTTTACTTTTAATATTCAATAATTTAGAATATTTAGATATCACCGAATGTAGGCTTATTTTTTTATTTAGCTTACTTATGAAGCAGATAAATGAAGGATTAGTAGAAAATATATTAATAAAATCTATTCAATGAAAACATCTTTTATTACTCTTATTTAGAGAGTTAGAGAGATCTTCGATACTTATTTCAATTTTTGTGTATTATTCTTTCTTTTCCTCCGCGCGAAAAGTATTCATCACAAAATTATTATAATGGACAAATATTGCAAATTAAAGTCTGCCAATATTTTCCATTTCATTATATTGCACTAAAACGTCGGAGAAATGGTTTCCTGATAAACTGGAACTGCTGCGTGAGCCACGGGTGTAAGGGCCTTCCCAACGATTGGTATGGATCCGTGCACTTGCACATGATCCACATGATGAGCGGTCTTAATCAACGTCGGTTCTTGTACGGAGACTCTCTCGATCTTTGTAGCAGGTTCCACGATATCGTATTCTTGAAAAATTTCAATTGGTTTGCTAACAACGATACGACGAGTGGAAACGCGTTCTCCGGTTGGTTCCGCGTGTTTCGCAGTTAGCATCGCGGAAAGAACACGCGCTCGGACGTGACCGACATCTTCAATCAATGTCCCAGTTGTATTGTCGTGACTAAAACCCAACTGGAAATTGTGTTTTTCTCATTAACACTTACATGTAAAAGTTTGATTTTCTGAAAAAAATCGAGTTAGGAGAATACTGTGTATTAATTGCTGTTACATTACGGAATAGCTGTGCATATTATATAAGTATTTTATACATTATACTTATACACATATATGATATCAGCAAAGTCAGAAAGTTAAAATATAGGCACATGTATGAGGGAATTAATATAATATTCACAGCTATTTAAGAAAATTAAGTAAAATGAAAAACAGGCCAATTTGTATGTCACTCTCTCTATAGGTACGGAAAATTTTGCAAAGAAATTGATATCGATAAATAATTTGATATCGATATAAATAATTTGATATCGAGGAGAAATTGATCGATCAACAATTAACTATTAAAATCTTGCGAACGTTTCTGTTGGATTTAAGAAATAATCTTCTTTCTAAGAAATAATCTTGCATTAAATATTTTTGAAAACAATTTGGCGTTTATTAATATAAATAGCATTGTGAAAAAGAATAAAATTTAACATAACGGTAAGAGAATCGTCCCACGTACCTCGGCGACACCGCCACGAGCAGTCAGGAGTTTAATTAGTCTGTTTTGATTGATTTTACTATTTTCGGCATTAATTTGTTGACTAGATATCACAATCGGAGAAGGATCGTGACCGGCAAATTGCGCGATAGGTGTACCATCCGATTCAGCGATTACACGGTGCTTAGAAGTGCGAGGCTGTAAAAGAAAAGATGTCGCAAGGATGTATTTTAATTATAATAGGTATATTTTGTGTTGCGATATAATTATCAATTTAGCTCTTTTACAGAAAGCCTAGCGTTTTCATAAAAGACCCCGCTTCTGTAGAAAAACTTTGTTGAAATTACTATGAGATTATAGAAGAAAAGATTTCAGTTGTGGCCCTGTGCCATACATCATGTACAGCCTCGTGCCTGTACAGCTTTTACTGCAGAGAGTAGGTACTTAACAAATGTACGATAAATTTGGAACGCGACGTACGCATTTTAGATTAGAATATTACAATATTTTCACAAAGGATTACATTTTTGTTATACATTTTCTCGTGTAAGAAATCTTTACACTGAGAAAAAAATGTTCTGGATTTTAGTAAATATTAGTTTGCATACAACTGTGACTTTATTTATTAAAATAAAGAAAAAATTTTTTTTATTAGTATATTTTTTTTCTAGTGAATATACTTATACTAATAAAATGGAAATTTTATTTTATTTTAGTAAATATAGTCACAGTTGTATGCAAACTAATATTTACTAAAATCCAGAACATTTTTTTCTCATTGTCAGTGTATATTATACTATGCACTATGCAGTATGCGATAACACGTTAAACAGAAAATTAATTTCTTTGATTTTCTTACATCTCACAAAAAATTAGAGATATCCGAGATAAAGATTATATATGTATTGATATATAATATGTATAAGATTGCTTACCTGCTTACCTGAGGAAGGCGCGCTTGATTGATAGTGCCACGAAAATCAGGGTTTTCAACTACAATAGATTCGTTCTCCAAGTCGTTAGAACCGGAAATAATCGACGCAGGTGTCGATGAAGGGAGTAACAGAGGTGACGGCAGAGGTGACGGCTTCCACACCCGGTGGAAGTTAGGCGTTTATTTAGGACGT